GGGCAATAGTTTCTTCTTAGTAAGGACTAAAAATAAATAAAACTGCGATTGGCAACCCCATTGACAAGCGTGGCGGCTATGGTATATATCTCTCCTATGAGACAACTATTAGGGATGCCAGTTTTCAGCAGTAGACTTTAATAGATTTTAACGATAACGACAAACGACAAATAATTCATCTGAACTTTATGAACACGCAGTGAATTAGTCCTAAGCAGTCGCTCTGAACGCAAGCCTTATGTCCACTTTCATGCAGATACCTTAATAGTATAATAGTAGAGGCAGTATTACGGCAAGAAGCAGAAGTGGGGGTGGGCGATGGTGGGGTTTTCGGGACTGGTGAACCAATCCGTATTACAGCTAACGATATAAAGCTGGTACTAAAGCAGATGACCAGAGGAAGGTCACCGGGTCACGATAGCCTCAGCGTCGAGCACCTTCATAATGCAGGACCGCATCTTCCAATGGTTTTGTCACTATTATATATTTTCTGTATTCGGCACTCTTACTTACCATTCGAGCTAATGAGGACCGTTGTTGTACCTATTTTAAAAAACAAGACTGGAGATATTTCAGACAAGACAAATTATAGGCCTATTTCTCTGGCAACTGTATTAGCTAAGGTGTTTGACGGCTTGCTTGAGCGACGGCTTAGTAACTTCATACAATTAAATGATGCGCAGTTTGGCTTTCGACCAGGCCTATCAACAGAAAGTGCTATACTGTCGCTGAAGCATACCGTCAAATACTACACCCAGAGACAAACACCAGTGTATGCTGCGTTTCTGGATCTCTCAAAGGCATTTGACCTGGTTGACTATGAGCTGCTTTGGTCAAAATTACGTGACATAGCTGTTCCAAATGAATTAATCACCACGTTGAAATATTGGTATGGCCATCAAGTTAACCAGGTCAAATGGTCTGGTGCGCTATCTGACGAATACATTTTGGAATGCGGGGTGAGGCAGGGGGGTTATCCTCGCCTTTGCTGTTCAGTCTCTACGTTGACGGGCTCATTGGTGCACTCAGTAGCACCAGGATAGGCTGTTCCATTGACGGACAAATGGTTAATAGTATTAGCTATGCTGATGACAAGGTGTTGCTGAGTCCATTGGTGAGCGCATTGCGTAAGCTGTTGGCCGTCTGTGAAGTATACGCTGCTAAACACGGTCTCCTCTATAACACCAAAAATAGTGAGTTAATGGTATTTCAAGTTGGTGCTAAAAAACCCCAGGTTGTGCCTCCGGTCAAGCTCCTTGGGGTGCCATTAAATAGGGTGTCACAGTTTAAATATTTAGGACACATTGTTACAGAGAATCTTACAGACAACTGTGATATAGAGAAGGAGCGGAGGGCATTGGCGGTTCGATGCAATATGGTTGCCCACAGGTTTGCTAGGTGTACTAGAGAGGTCAAAATTACTCTTTTCAAGGCTTACTGCCAAACCTTTTACACCTGCAGCCTGTGGTATAGCTATACGCAAAGGGCCTATAATGCACTTCGCGTCCAATATAATAATGCCTTCAGGATGTTGATGGGCCTTCCCGTGTTCTGCAGTGCATCTGGCATGTTTGCTGAAGCGGGTGTTGACGATTTTCATGGCATCATACGGAAGCGAATATCGTCCAGCTGGCGCAGATTGCGGGGGGAGCTCAAACGGCGTCCTGAAGGTAGTTAAAGATAGGCTTGATTGTCCCATTCAAGGGCATTGAACTCAAATGCATATGGGTGGGACACTTAAGTATCTTAATTAATATTTTTAAAATTGTAAGTTATTCAATTTGATTTAATTTAATTTACTAACATAGTTTTTAAGAAATTTACTAACAAATTTGTATGGATTTTTTAATCTGAAATAAACGTTTTATTATTATTATTAATCACAATCGACGCAGTACGCAAATTCCTCCCGTATTCCCTTTCAAGAATAAGAGGATTCCTACGCTCAAGTTATTTATATCCTGGTTTTTTACTTCTTACTCTGTGCCGCAGCTTGTAAGTGACCTTCATTCTTTTTGTTTCGAACGTTGGGATATCAGTCAAAGCATAAATACCTACGTGATAACATAATTATTGACTGCATCGTTGGTCTAGTGGTTGTAGTAGTGCGACTGCTGATCATGAGATCCCGGGCTCGAATCCCGGGTCGGGCCAAAAAAATCAGTTTATTGAGTTTTCGGGCGAGAAATTCTCAGTAGCTGCCCGGAGACAGCAAAGTTGGCGGTGTCTCACCCCCGTGCCTCGGAAACCACGTAAAGCTGTTGGTGCTGCGCCTGATTTCTCCCCGGTTGTGTCGGTTTACTGTCCCATCGTATTCATGAGAGGAGGGAATAGAGAGTGCACCTGTATTTGCGCATTCACTTGGACACTATAATCCGGTCCTGCGCCGATGGCTAGTCTCCGTTGAGACTGGCCGCCGTGACCGAAATTCGGTCTGGAGGACATTATTATTATTGGGGTATCTATATAATTTTCTCACCTGGTTGGGTTCTATAAATATATAATTATAAATTAAAATGAAAAGATAAATATACATAAATATCAATAAAATAAAATAAATACAAAAACTACATAAATAAATAAGATCCAACCAGATGGGAGCCCTCGGCAGGGGAGACCAAACGGCCGAGGGTTAGGGGGAAAGGGAAAGAAACCGGCGGACGATGCGGGCGGTATCGAGGAGCACCGCCTTCTGCATTTGTGCCCGGAGCGGTCCGTCACGGAGTCCCAGTCGCCTCAGATGACCCGAGAGGCTGACTGGGATTAGCCCCTTTGCAGAGACGACTACAGGAATAATTTCGGTCGGCATACCACCCCACATGTCGGTCACCTCGAGAGCCAGGTCCAGATATTTTGTTCGTTTCTCTGTTTCGGCTTTCACGAGGTTCTCGTCATACGGAATGGTAATGTCGATCAAAAATATCCTTGACTGTGCCCGGTCCATCAGCACAATATCAGGCTTATTCGCAAGAATAGTCCTGTCTGTGATGATGGCCCGGTCCCAGGAGAGCCTGGCGCGGTCATTTTCGAGCACGGCTTCCGGCAAGTACTTGTAATACGGCAATATTCGGTCCACGAGACCGTATTTCAGAGCGAGCTCCTGGTGTAGAATTCTGGCTACTAGGTTATGCCTGTGCACTCCCAAAGTGACTCCCCGGGATGGCGACAAGCTCGACAGACGCCGACAGTGCCATCCTTTAGGATGTATCTTCGATAGTTGTTGGTCTTAATAACCTGATCCTGTATTGCACAGACAAAACTCTCGGTTTCCCCGAAGAGGTCACCGAAACGTAGCCAGTTGAGGGAGGCGGCTGTATCAACGTGAGGCTCATGTAGAGCCCTGTAGTACCTCCCGTGGAGCTCCTTCTCCTTCCATACGGTCTCCCGGTCGGAAATGCTCTGTACTGCCGGGTCTCGCCATTGCTCGTTGGCTAAGGATAGAGGGGTAAGTCCTTTATCACTATAAATGGCGTCATTATAGAATGGATCATCCGATCTCGCCAGGAAGTAATGACGGAGGCTGCACACTTCGCGATAATGCATGGTGAGCGCACTCAGGAAGCCACGCCCACCATGCTTTCGCGGCAAGTACAGCCTCATTACCGACGATCTCGGATGATGCATCCTATGGGACGTCATTGTAGTGCGGACTTTTCTATCCAGGGCGTTAAGTTCAGTCTGACTCCACCTGAGCATGCCAAAGGTATACATGAGGACAGACATGACCCAACCGTTATATGCATGTGTCTTATTCACACCGGACAAAAGGCTGTTAAGCACTTTGATCAAGCGTGCATAAAACACGTCGCAAACTGACTGGTTCATGAACCAGACTCATCGATACCGATGTTCTGTGACATACCCAGGTATCGGTATGTTTCAGCCTCGGAAAGGGCCCTTAAGTTGACGGGCATAGATAAGTCTATGCCCTCAGAGTTAGCAACCCTTCCCCTTTCAACATGGAGGACCGCATACTTATCCGTCCCCAGCTCCATTCTAATAGAATTGCTATTGCTATTCACAAGTGATGTTTAGCAATTCCATAAGATGGGAGCGACTGGAGGCGAATAATTTGAGGTCATCCATATAGAAAAGTTGGGTCACTTTTGTACCTCCTTTCCGAAGCTGAAATCCCCTCTTGGCGCCCTCCAGTAAAGTACTGAGAGGGTTGAAAGAGAGGCAGAACCAGATTGGACTCAGACAGTCGCCCTGGAATATACCCCTTCTTATCCTTATGCGGCTTTCCGCAGCCGTCATCCGCTCGCCTAGATGACAGCGGATCGTGCCCCCTACATTGCTCGAGGAAGTCTCGCACTGTACAGTGAATCTTGTACAGCTCGAGGACCCTCTATAGCAATGTATGGGGCACCGAGTCAAATGGCCTTTCTGTAACCTATCCAGGCGGCGGAGAAGTTCCGACGGTTGCGTTTCACCACTTTGCCAATGACCGCGTCAATGAGGAGTGGTTTCTTGGTTCTACGACCGCCGCCCCGACAATCATTTTGAGCGCGCGACATCACCTGATTTGAGTCCAGGTGACGAGCGATTCTCGCGCTCAAAATGGATGTTAGTGTCTTGTATATGGTCGGTAGACACGTGATGGGGCGGTATTTGCTCGGGTCTGTAGCACCCTGATCTTTAGGAACCAAATGAGTGATCCCAGTAGTGAAGAGGCTTGGGAGCGACTTCTGATTGAGAGCCTCTTGAAACTGTCGGGCGAGCACAGCGTGACACACCATGAACCCCTTCAGCCAGTAGTGATGCAGCCCGTCAAGCCCCGGACTTTTCCAGTTCGGGGCCCTACGGACCGCCTCAGCTACGTCATCCGGCGTTATGATGACGGGGTCCATGGGCGTAATACCCGCACACTGACTCGCCACAACTTCCGTCCAAGGGCCCTCGTTGTGGTTTACGGGCTCTGACCACAGGCTGCGCCAGAATGCGACCGTGTCGGTCTAATTTGGTGCTGGGCCCGTTCCACTTACTATTGGTCGCTCCAATTATTTATAGAGCCTCTTCTGATCACTCTGGAAGAGACGATTCTGGTTGAACCGTGTCGACCTCTCGGTATATCGCCGAATCCGCTTTCCCCAAGCAGCGATTCTTTGCTTCAGGTCGTCTATGCGCTCCGTCAGTTTTTGCATTATATCCGGCTGGGACAAACTAACATTTGTCCCAGCAAACGCCATTCTGACGGTGCGCACAATCCTTGGCCTGGTATTGCCTGACCTGAAGCATATCAGTCTGCCGATGAGAGCCCTAGGGTTTGCGATACGTTCTTCAATTCTTATTCTCCAGGCTGGGATAGCAATACTTGGTCCAGTAGCGCGTCCAGCCGTGGAAAGTTTGGCGCCTATAATACGGCAGACTGTCAGTGCGATGCAAATGTCCCGTCTGGCTTCCAAATAGGTAACCAGCATTGGGTTCAGAGCCCTCACGACAGCCCGATTCCGCTTGCTTAGGGCTAAGCGGGGAAGTCGCGGTCGATTTTCGAGAGGCGTACTGCGTGTTTCCACATCGCTCTTCATGTACTTATGCTCAGTTCCATTGAGATGCACGTCTGAATCAACCACAACTGGCGTGTTCACGGCGGCATCCACATTTGCCGTTTGCTCCGCAAGTTGCGGCGCCGCATCCTCAGCCGCAGCATTTTCACCCGATGAAGGAACAGCCTCACGTCATAGCCGTTCGAGTTCGGTAACATCAAATGTATTTGAGCGCAAGATATACCGAACTCGGTCTGCCAGGTTTTGCTCGGTGACGGTTACAGATGGCTCCAGCTCAGCAAAAAGTCGATGCATCCTTGCCCGATACGCAAAACCTCCAGTTTCTCCCCCTTTCACCCTAAAATACGCCCGCAATACGTTGCTGTTCATCTGGGTTGTCCAACGCATGCGGCGTACTCCACCAGAGTCGGGTGCCGATTGCTGGGCCGGCGAAGACCCTGCTGACACCAAGCCAGGTGGTGGGGATGATGGATGCGAGGGGCTGCTGGGTGCGCGTGCAGCACCTCGCGCTCGGTTGGCGGTTCCCATGCTATCGCATCCAGCGCCAGCTCCAGACGCGCCCTGGCGACCTCCAGGCAGCGGCCCTTTGCGCGTTCTATTTAATTCCATCATCCATTTTTAGGACGTCATTTAGCGGGGACGCCCAGACCCGGCGCCGTTTCATGGTGAGGCCATGTGCACAAGCGGGCCTTTGCACCTTCAATTTTTGCCAAGGCCCGGCACTAACACCTCTTGTCACATAACCGTTACGTCAGCGGGCGATGGGGTCGTCACTTCCCTACGCCTTATTATTATTAATATTATTATATATTATTATTACTAATAATAATAATATTAAAAAATAATAGAAGAATGTCGCGTGAAACAAGAAAGTTCATCCCTCCGTTTTAGAAAAGAATAAAGTAGTTTTTATTCAATATAGATTACAAGATTACTTATCGAAAGTCATTTATGCTTTTGTCCCGTAGGTGTTTTAAAAGGCCACTATGGCAAATACCAGATAAACCTTATAGGCTTCGATAAAAATAAGACCACACACGTACAACACTTCAATATTGAGCCCACAAAAAAGGGTTATTTTGCAATAAGCAGCCAAATTTGCAGATAAGGTTCAGAGTAGGTAATATCGCCAAATGTTGAAGTTAAAAAATCTCAAACATTCTGTCCTTTTTATCTTTTAAATTCAAAATGCGTGATAATGCATTAATTTAAAAGATTTTACTGTGCTCGTACACATTCGTAATGGTCAATTAGAAGGAAAAAACGTTATTGTACATAAATCACATTCAATTTGGGATGATTTCAAATAAAAGTAGAAACCTTATTTACTCGTGTTTTCGAAAACAGCAATATACCATTATATCATTATTTATATATTTGAACTTAAGTTTAAATTTTGGCTACTATTTGAAAAATAACACTGTATATAAATATATCATACTATTAACATAAATAAAATAGAATGAAATATATACTTAATACAATATATGCAATAAAATATTCTTAAATAAATATATAAAGCCCAATCAAATGGAAGCTCTCGGCAGGGAGGACCAAACGGCTGAGGGTTAGGAAGAAGGGGAAGAAATCGGCGAACGACGCGTGCGATATTAAGGAGCACCGCCTTCTGCATTTGAACCCTAGCGGTCTGTCACAGAGTCCCAGCCACCTCAGATGACCAGAGAGACTGACCGGGATTATCCCGTTCGCAGAGGCGATTGCAGGAATAATTTCGATCGGCAGACCACCCCACAGGTCCATCAACTTGTGAGCCTGTGAGAAAAATATTCTTGACAGTGCCCGATCCATCAGCACAATGTCAGGCATTTTCGCAAGAATAGTTCAGACTTTGATGAACTTTCGGTCCCAGTCCGGCAAGTTATAATAAAGCAGTTTCCAATCCACGAGATCGTATTCCAAAGTGAGCTTCTGGTGTAGATTCTAGGCCACTATATCGTGCTTGTGCAAATACTCAGGGTTAGAAAGCGCCGAATAACCGGAGATGACATGCCTGAGTGATTCCCTGGGATGGCGACAAGCTCGCCAGGTGACGACGGACATCCTTTAGGATGTAAATGTTATCATTATTAGGTACTAATAAAAAATAAAGACAGCACTGTACTCGTGTTTTAGTAATTATATTTTATCAAAAATATTCAATTATTCTTGAAAATAGGTTAATATTTAGTTTAGTAAAAATCACAAAACTTAACTACAATGACTACAAGGCAATGTATAAATAAATTTTATCTACTAGCGCTCTGCGCAATGGCTCTGAGTCATAGTCAGTGTTTTTGATGTAAAATAACCATATTTGTCCATAGCTAGCATAGTATTACGAAATTATATTTTAACGTGTGAGTAATTATCTTTACGTGGTAGAGCCATGCTGCAGTTATATTAATAATATAGTTGTAGCACGAATGGGTTGGCTCAACCGGGGAAGGACCACGCTCTCACAGAATACCAGCGTGAAATAGTAGCTTGATGCTGCTGTATTTCGTATGGTGAGTGTAGAGAACCGGAGACCCTTTTTACTGGAAACGAGGCATTCCATCTTAGTCCTCACGGGTGACAACGCATCTGCATTTTGATTCGTAATCGAGGATAGATGTAGATGTCTATGGGCCACAGCTACCACTTACCATCAGGTGGACTGTGTGCTCGTTTGTCACCCTACCCCATAAAAAAAAAATTATATTTTAACTAGAATTATTTTAAAAACAATAACTTATATACAATCCAAAACTATCATGGTTTTTAGTGACAAACACTTTGCGCAATTTAAAGCAACATACTTCTTCCTGACCACGATTCTTTCCGAATTTTCAAATAATGAAAATAAAGACCTTAAGATAAATACCGTATAAAAATATTTACAAAATTAAAAATGGGTCAATGTGATTTAATTAATTGTCTGCTGTGTGATTTAATTGAATTATCCTACAATGATATTGTAAAATAATGCAATAATACGAGTATTAGAATAATATAATAATGTGGAATAATATAGATTTCCTACGGATAATAATAATAATAATATATAAGATAATAATAATATATAAGAGCAAAGTAAATGTTCAAAAAAATTTTAAACGATTAATTAAAAATTTTTGTTTTTATTTTTTGTAAAATATCAGTGTCATATGCTTCTACTCCGTTCACATGTTACCTTGGTTGCGGCAACGAAAACCCTCGCACTTTGTATTACAATTCGTCGTGGCGTTCAAACAGGCAACCCCAGTGTAATTTTCGTCACGCACCGCCCCAGTTGCTACACAGTTTTTTTCGCCTCACAAGACCGTAGAGAGAGGCCGCAAGCAGCTACCCCAGATAAGTGCCTGTTCCATAATCCTGAGCTGTTTTATACGTTGCTCCCTTTTCCGTGGCAGCTCATGTTTCCGTCGTGCCGGCTAACATATTAGATTAAATTTACAGCAAGTATATTGTCTTAAGACCGCCACGTGCCACGTCCGCCGTTTTGTTTTGGTTCACAACCAACCACGCTGATACAGTTCACCAAGTTGTTCAACCCGTAATAACTTACGTCATTCGCGCAAGTAGTGGCGGTTGAGAATATCGTTAGCCGTGTAGTGGCGAATATCCACTACCCCATATCTTCCCGTGGGTGTCGTAAGAGGCGACAGAGGGAGACAGGCAGGAGATGGGCAGCAGCATCTTCCTAATAACAACAATAACATAATAAAAAACTGCGGTGGCCAACCCGCTCGCCAAGCGTGGCAACTATGGCAAATATCCCCTCACGACGCAAACAAACGGCCACCAGTCCCGGCGGCCCCGCTATTCCTGGATACGGTGGCGACCATGGTAACGGCGGGGCAGGGGGTGCTAAGAATCTCCGGTGGAGGTTCGGTTGCCACCTACGACGACTCGACCTGGCAACGTATAACGCATGCACCCTGAGGACTGACGAGAAGATACTGGAAGAAGAGGTAGACAAGTCGCGCTGGGATATTATTGGATTATCTGAGGTCCGAAGAGAGGGGGAGGACACGGTAATCCTCGAGTCCGACAACTTGTTCTATCACCGGGAGGGCGACCATCTGTCCCAAGGAGGTGTCGGATTTATCGTCCACAAGTCTCTCGTCTACAACGTTGTAAAGATTGGGAGTGTGTCGACGAGGGTCGCGTACCTGATACTCAGAATCACCAAACGGTATTCGCTGAATGTCATACAGGTCTACGCACCAACCTCGGCACATCCCGATGAGGAGGTGGAGGAAATGTATGAGGATATTTCTAGAGCCATGCATTTTTCCAAAACCCACTACACGGTGTTGATGGGAGACTTCAACGCAAAACTAGGCATAAGAGAAGGCGGTGTGCTGAAGTTAGGGAAATTTGGAGTAGGGCAACGGAACCGTAGGAGCCAGCAGCTGGCTCACTTTATGGAGAAAGAGGGACTTTATATGGTGAACTCTTTCTTCCAGAAGCGGCCCCACAGGAAGTGGACCTGGTCGAGCTCCGACGGTTCGACAAAAAATGATATTGACTTCATTATGACGACCAGACGCCAACTGTTCAGTAATGCCTCAGTGATCGCAAGGGTGAAAACCGGCAGCGATCACCGAATGGTTAGAGGCACACTGAACCTTAACGTTAAGTTGGAGAGGTCTCGTCTAATGAAGTCAATGCTTCGTCCCACTCGTGCTCTGATCCTGAATCCCGAGACTTTTCAACTCTAGTTACGTAACTGCTTTCAGTGCCTAGAAGATTGCAATGCAGTGGACGATATGAATGACAAGCTCGTGGAAACTGTCCATGCGGTTGGAGCTAAGTTCTGCAAGACCCGCCGCAGTAGAACATAAAAACTCTCCGATCACACTCTTAATCTCATGGCTGTTAGACGGGAGATGAGGCTGCAATCGTCAACAGATTTGACAGCATACAGG